GCAGGAATATCTCCATGCTCTGAAACTTGTTTTGCTTTAGATTCTACTTCTGAAAACACGACATACATCCAAGGCCATGCTGTCCCGTCACCAGAACTTATCAACAGCCATTTCCAGTCCATCTCATACCACTGGGAATTGATTGTGCTGTTTCTCTAGCTTTGTAAAAACAAGTTTCACTTTTTCTGGTTGAGAATTACAAGTGGGAGAGGGGCATCCTGTCTTCCACCAGCACGCTGTCCATTCCAAACTGGTCAGTGCACTGCTTCACGGTGGCCAGAACACTCAGGAGCCGCTGCTCAACGGCATCCAGGTGAGGATCAGAGAGCACTGGGGAGATGGGGTCATGGGCCATGGCAGATTTTAAGGCAGACTTTAGTACACCATTCTTTAGGTAGTTCAGTCTGTTCCACGTGGAAACCCGAATGCTGGAAGAGAAAGTTTTAGGACAAGTTATACAAAACCTCTTACTGTGAAATGCCAAAAAATAATTATGTAAAATATTTTAACTAAAAAGAAAGTGTTTTATAATTACCATTACATTATGAATAAGCCACCCTGGAAACATCCCCATCTGGATATTTTTTTCTGGGTGCCTAATCAGAAATGTACACAAAGACTCTGGGATCAGTAGTTAGCATAATGGCTATGTTGCTGGACTCCCATGTTGTCAACCACGGTTTGAGTCCCAGACCCGGTGGCTTAAACTCACACCAGGCACGTGTGCGTGCGAGCCCAAGATCCTGAGAGGAGAATGGAGAAGGAACTGAGGCGTGGCCATCGCCCCTGGGGGGTGATTTCTCACTTTCTGTCTGCCTCTATCTGCCTTTCTGGCGAGCGCATGTGCCCTACTGCAAAAACCTCTCCAAAAATAAAAAGAATCGGAATGTCAAAAAATTGGGTATGGCTCATCCATTAAAGGAATACTAGGCAGCATTAAAAGCAGCTTTAGGGGCCAGTGGGTGGCGTGATGGTTAAAGGTGCTGGATTCCTACATGGCCAACCGCAGTTTGAGTCCCAGACCTGGTGGCTTCTCTCTCCCTTTTCCTTTCTATGGTCAAAGTAAGATAACAATAATAATAATAATAACAACAACAATAACAGATGGAAGTAAGTAAATGAATATATATATATATTTAAATAAAGGCACTTTAAAAATGGGGACATGTTTAGTGGTTAAAGTGCTGGATTCCCACATGGCCAACTACCGTTTGAGTCCCAGACCTGGCTTGAAAATCACATAGGGAATGTGTATGGGTATGCATGCCCAAAATCCCAGGAGAAGAAGGGATTGTGGCATGGCTATCCTCCCAGGGGATGATTTCTCACTTTCCTTCTCAGTCTCTCTCTGGCACGTGCACATACCCTATGGCAAAATCATTTAAAAAAAAAAAAAAAAAGGAGACATGCCAGTGCCATAAGCCTGGATGAGTAAAAAAATGGTGGAAAATATTACTTTACTTGAGTCTGAGGGGAAACAGAGTGTGTGTGTCCAGGTTGGACTGGAGGACACTACAATGTTAACAAGAGTTATCCTTAGATGTAAATAGGAAAAAAAATATTTGAAGGATGCTTATTTTCCTGAATTCTTCCACCAACTGTCATGGCTTGAATGTATGTCCCCTTCAAAACTCAAGTTGAAATTTAACTGCCGTTGTAACAAGTATTAAGAGGTGGGGCACTCAAAAGGTCATTAGGCCAGGAAGACTGCCCCGTGAGCGGAATTATTGCTGTCATAAAAGGGTGTGTTCAGCTCCCTCCTGCCCTCCTGCCTGCCACCATGTGATGATGCAGTGAAAAGGCGCTTGCCAGATGCCAGAACTTCAATACTGAGCTTCCCGGCCTCTAGAACTCTGAGCCAATACATTTCTGCTCATTGTATAAATTCATTATACATACTCAGTCTTTAATATATGGAGAAATGCAAGAAAAGGGCTTGCAGCGTGACCACACCCAGAGGGGAGCTTTCTTCCTCTCATTCTGTTTCTCTATGAATGAGCTCATGTGCCCTTTGTCAATTAAAAAAAAAAGTGTTGCCTGGGTAAATAGGTACGTTTTACAAAATTCTGTTACTGTTCTTTTTTAAAGATCTATTTATTTATTTACTATTATTTTTAAATTTGCTAAAGGGTACATGTGCTCACCAGAGAGAGGGAAAGTGAGAAAGCCAGTCACCAGGACTGGGACTTGAACCATGGTCGCCCATGTGGTACCAACCACCACGCCAACTGCTGCCCAATTTTGCTACTATTAAAAAAAGAAGGGGGCCAGCAGGTGGCATGGTGGCTGCGGTGCTGGACTCCCATATTGCTGACTGAATACAAGTCCCAGATCTGCTGGCTTGCTTTCTCTGTGAGTGCATGTGCCTTATAGAAAATTTTAAAAAATACATAAAAATAATAAATAAAATTAAATAAATGATTTCTTAAAAAAAAAATAAAAAGAAGGTGGCTAGCAGGTGGCATGGTGGTTAAGGTGCTGGACTCTGACATGGCCAACTGCAGTTTGAGTCCTGGACCTGGTAGCTTGCTTTCTCACCTTCCCTGTCTTTCACTCTGTTTCTTTCTCTCTCTGGTCAAATTAAAAAAATAATAATAAAATAAAAAAAGAATAAATAAAATTATTCTTTAAAAAAATATTTAAAAAAAAAAAACCTGCCTCACGTGACAGGTGGATGCCTGGAGCTGACCAACATACCAAGTGGTGCTCTTAGACTTTCTGGGTAGCCAAGCAAGGTGGGTCCTCACTGAACCTTGATGTGCAAAATTTAAAATTACACCAGACATGAAGACTGGATGAAAAGCTCCTTAAAGTCTAGGTTTGAATGCATTCTCTTGATTTATTTTTCAGTGTCTTTGTTCTTTTTTTTGGTGGGGGGAGGAGAGGTTTTTGCTATAGGGTGCATGCGCACCAGACAGACAGAGACAGACAGACAGAGAGAAAGAGAGAAATCACTCCCCCCAGGGGGGATGGCCACGTCGCAATCCCTTCTCCTCCATTCTCCTCTCGGGATCTTGGGCACACATGCACATGCACCCGGTGTGAGTTTAAGCCACCGGGTCTGGGACTTGAACCGCGGTCGGCTACATGGGAGTCCAGCGACATAGCCTTTACGCTGGTCCCAATGTCTTTGTTCTTTAACATAGATTTTTTTTAAAAAATTTTTATTTATTATCATTATTTTTCAATTTTGAGCAGAGAGAGAAAGAAAGAGAAAGTGAGAAAGCAAGCTGCCAGGACCTAAACTGTGGTTGGCCATGTGGGAGTCCAGCGCCTCAACCGCCATGTTACCTGCTGGCCCCAACACAGATTTGTTTAAAAGTCAATTAAATACTTGCAAAAAAAAAAAGAGCCAAAAACAAAAACAAAACTATTTTAGGTTTAGTCAATCTGAAATTGAGATATACAAGCCCCAAGTGGTATGTGATGGGTCAATGAGAAGACTTGTGACCACAGGAAAACGAGGTACAGTAAGCAGGGATACAGATTTTACTAGAGGAGTTTTTTCTTTCTTTTTTTTTTTTTTTTCTTGGGAGGGCAGGGGAGATAGGGAGAACTGGGGAGGGGGGGCAAATTATATTCTGATATTAAAACAAATGTAAGTATGTGTTACTAAATAGACTATAAACTTCTATAAATAAATCTCAGCTTTGGATTATCTGCTTCCACCTTTCCCTGATTCTCCATCTCAGCACCGACAAGAGGCTCTGAGACGGAGAACTGAAAAGCACTGCTCAGGCATCAGGAAGTTTGACAACCAAGAAAACTGATGCACTGTCACTAAGCCCGGAAAGAAAGGCATCATAGGCAAGTGTATTTGCTCTGCATAAACTTACATGCAGCACTGATAGAGGGGGGCAAGAATGCTTCTCTCGTCCAGTGAGGGGTTCCCAAAGCTGGAAATCAAATGAAAACTTAGTGAGTTAGGTGAAGTACCAGTTCCCTTCTTAGCATCAAAGCAACGGCAAATTCCACAAAAGACTCAATGTGATCCTAGATAATTTCATGCTCTAGCAGCTCAAATCACTTAAATTAAAAAATAAGCAGGGCATGACCAATTAGACACAGGATCCCTAACGCCTGTACTGATGTATCACACAACAAATATACTCATTTACAAAGATTCTTTTTCTAGCCAAGATATTGCAAGATGCTGCAGCATAAGTATAATAAACACAGTGTGAAGTTCATAGACCAAAGGGAGAATTTGAAGACCCCTAACCCTGATGAGGTTTTAAGGGGTGGGGAGATAAATAAGGGATATTAATGCCTCACAAAAAAGTAGATGATTGGGACCAGCAGGTGGCATGGTGGTTGAGGTGCTGGACACTCCCACATGGTTGACCACGGTTCGAATTCCGGACCTGGCGGCTTGCTTTCTCACTTTCCTCTCTCTCTCCATGTGTGTCTCTCTTTAGTTCTCTAGTCAAATTAAAATAAATGAATGAATAAATAAAATTAAATTTAAAAAAATTCTAAAAAAAAAAGATGATCATTACTTGTAAAGAAAAAAAAGGTATAAAAGTTATACCTGTATCAGTCCAAAATGACCAATATCCTATTACCAATAAGTATGTGGACAGATTCGAATTTAAAAAAAATGGTTCATAGAAACAGAAAATACTGATTCAAAGCAGATATAAAAAATGATCCTTATTTTATTTTTTTGTAGAGTGATTTTTGCCATAGAGTGTGTGCCTATTGGAGAGAGAGAGAGACAGAAAGAGAGCGATCACCCCCGAGAAGGGATGGCCATGCGACAATTCCCTTCTCCATTCTCCTTGTGGGATTTTGTGCACGACATGCCTGGCATGAGTTTTAAGTCACTGGGTCTGAGACTCAAACTGTGGTTGACTACATGAGAATCCAGCAATGTAACCTTTACGTCATCTGATGGTCCTAAAAATTATCTTATTGGGACAGCCCCAGTGTGAAGAAGCCTGATTCCATATGGCCGACCACAGTTTGAATCTTAGCCCCAGTGATCAAAAAACATGCCAAGTGCATGTGCATGTGTGCCCCAAATCCTGATGGGATGGAGAAATGGAAGGAGAAAGGGTTGAGGCACGACTACACCCCACTGCTTGTGGTGGTCATGGTAGTGGGGGTTTCCTCTGTCTCTGTGGGGAGCATAAGCACCTTGTAGCAATTAAAACAAACAAACAAACAAAACAATAAATGATCTTAGCATTAATTTAGAGTTAGAAAAAGAGAACTGATTCTGGAAAAACTATCAATCTCCCACTCTTCCTAGAAGCTTATCTTAGTAGCTGGAGAGTCAGGAGCCCTTAGTAGTAGAGGCCTCCAATAATAAAAGCAAAGGCAACTGCCATGACCTGAATGTCCATGTCTCCCCCAAAATCCATGTTGATATCTAATCCCCAACACAATTATTAAGTGGGGATCTGGGAGATGATAAAGTGGTATTAATACCTTTACAAAAGAAGCCAGAGGGAGTTTGTTCACCTCTTCCACCATTAAAGGACACATAGAAAGTGCTGTCTATGAGGAATGGGCCCTCAACAGACACTGCTCTGCTGGCTCCTTGATCTTGAACTTCCTAGCCTCCAGAACTGTGAGCAATGAATTTCTGTTATTTATAAATACTCACCCTGAACGAACTAAGACAACTATTTTGATATACATCAAATGTCAAATATCATGGGCATTATGGTACACATAATCTTTTAAAGAAAAAGATTGTTCTGAGCTAGCTCCATGGTGCAATGGTAACACACCATTCAATAGAACCCAGATCCTGGATCCCACAGGATGACTGCGGTTCAAATCCCTGACCAGGTCAGCCTAAAACACACCAAACAGAACTGCCCAAGATCCAAACTGATAGAAACCCAGAGGAAGGTGACAGTAGAGTGACCAGAGTGATAGTGTGTAGCGCTCTCTTGCTTGCTCGTTATCATGTGTGCATGTATACTCTCTATCATGAATAAAGAGAAAATGATCATTTTTACAAGCAGGACAAAGATTTTCAGAAAGAGATACAGCACTGGCCACTGTCTCCTTTGCTGTGATGGGCTAGAGGCAGTGTTTGCTAGCCTTTCACTTTCTGTAGCTGTCCACCTTTGCTGGAGCACGAGGCACCTGGTGTTCAGTGGAAGGTCGTGGCGTCATTAGCAAGTGCTGCCCACGCATTCTGTGCTGAGGAGACACATCTCAGCTTATTCCCGGCAATGAAGTGACCTAGTGCCTGGACAGTTCTGGGCTCTCAGGAGGCATTCTATTTAGCAAACAGTATTAAACATAAAGCGCAGCACTGAATTGGCCACTGCAGAAAGTATGAGGTGCAAAGTGGGAACACACGATGCTCTCCTAATGGCTCAGGCCTGAAAATAGGACATTCTATGTATTTGAAAAGAATAAACTTGTCTTAGTCAAGATAAAAGTAACTTGCCTTCACATTTAATTGCTAAGCAACTGTTCTTCTTTCCACAATAGCAAGTCTTGGCCTAGACTGCCATGAAATAGCAAAATGTCCTATCTAACTTCTTTAGATAGAATAAACTTAATAGTAAATGAACCCCATGTTTTATCAAATCTATAGTTGTCAAGATGCTACGCATCACCATGAGGAGTGAAAAATGTAGGTAACAATAAATTAAAGGCCTTGGTTCTCAGTTATCTGTGGAGAACCTGAGTCTTTGACTCCTTGGAAGGAACCATTTTTCCACTTGTCAAAGTTCTGAGATCCCCGGGGTGGAGGAAGAACTGGAATTCACAATGAAGACCCCAAGTGGAAGCAGGAAGGATGCCTTCCTGATGTTTCCAGAATACCCCAGCAAATGTCCCTCTCATACACAGAAACCCCTCGTGCCAGGCTACTCGGGCTGCTCTTACCTTTTGGCATTGTCAAGAAGGATGAGCATACTAGCGCCTTCGTCATCTTGAAAGCTCTCATAGTGATGGCGGTCTGCATTGCCAATCAGGTAATCAAAGACCGCTGTGTCAATGATGTCCAGGAGGCGTGGGCCGGAGTCATAAGGGGATGTTTTCTTCACAGCATCGCAGTAGCTCTCATCATACTCCCACCTGGAGGCGAGCAGCATCAGCAGGGTTACTGAGTGCCCACACTGTCCCTGGCACTGTTAAGAGCAAAGAGAAGACAGAGTCCCTGCCTAGTGGGCTTGCCCCTGACCTTGCAGTTTTTTCATTCGTGGGCAAAACCGCTGGTTCCTGTACAGGGTGGCACCTGGCCAGGTACAGGGGAGAGTTAAGTGGTGGCTCACAGGAGTATTTACCTAGCCAATTTGCCTTCTCGGTAAGTTCTGCCCCACGGGTGCCGGTGTTTCTGCAGAGGCCAGACATCTGGAAGCCAAAGTGTCACAGATCCCTCCATTGTGTCTCCATCAGCACAAGCTGGCTCTGTCTCTCGGCAGTAATAACACTTCCCATAGAAACAGGTATTGTTTCCTGAAGAACAGAAAGGAGCCAAACATACTTACGGAAAAAAAAAACGTAGACTCCTCATCTCCCTCAAACAGGTAGAAGAGAGCAACTAAGTAAACGGCAATGGAAAAACAAAGACCCTGAACTTACACATTTCAAATATTTGTTTTCCTGTATGGGTAATAAAAGCACATGGTGTCGGGACCAGCAGTTGGCGTAATGGCTATGTCGCTGGACTCCCACGGAGTCGACCGCAGTTTGCGTCCTGGACCTGGTGGCTTAAACTCACGCCGGGCACATGTGTGTGCGTGCCCAAGATCCCGAGAGGAGAATGGAGGAGAAGGGATTGTGGCGTGGCCATCCCCTCTGGGGGGTGATTTCTCGCTTTCTGTCTCTCTGTCTCTCTCTGTCTGTCTGGCAAGCACACATGCCCTATAGTGAAGAAACCTCTCAAA